GCGCGGCGATCGCGAGGAAGGGGGGGCCCCTCGCCGCCTCGCGCCGAAGTTCTAAGCTTCCGGGATCGAGGATCCGTGCGGCCCACGCGGCGGGAAAGTGGAACATGCGACCACAACATGGGGTGTGGAAGGTCTGGCCGCTCGAGGACCGAGGTCGGCAAGCGAGGGATCGAGCAGGTGGGGGATCGAGGAGGCGGAGGAGGAGGAGGAGGAGGAGGAGGAGGCGGAGGAGGAGGAGGCGGAAGGAGGAGGAGGAGGAGGAGGGGACGTCGAGAACGGAGTGGGTATCGAGAAGGGGTCAGGGGAGATCGAGGAGGATGCGGATAGGGGGGGGACCGAGGAGGGGAAAGAGATGGGAGGTAGGAGGTAGGAGGAGGAGGAAGGCAGGAGGAGGAAAGGGACGGAGGAAGGTGAGGAGGAAAGGGAGGACAGAGGAGAGGAGGGAAGGATGAGGAGAGGAAGAGGAGGCGGAGGAGGAGGAGGAGGAGGAAAGGGAGGAGAAAGGAGGATGGAGGAGGATCGAGGAGGATGGTCGGGGACGAGAGGTATCGGGAGATTTCAAAAAGGAGCGGTATCGAGGGAGATCGAGGCGGGTGAGGAGGATCGTGAATGATCGAGGACCGAACAACGTGTTTGCTGTGCCCTTCCTGAATTTCGTGGAGCGCCCGTGTTGCCCCACCTGAGTCCACCTCGAAGATTCTGGTCTCGAGCAGCGCCCGCACTCGCCAACACGAACGAGCACTGGAGACGTGGAGGCCCATTCCGGGCCTGGGGGCCGACCAGAACACGGGTCGGGAAACCTTAGCATGAGGACAACCGTGGCTGCGGAGGCGGGGGACCCGTGGTTCCTTGGATCCTTCCCTCGGCTTTCTACCATCCTGGCGCCCTTTCTTTTCTCGCGCAGGTCGGGCCAGCTTGTCCGCGCCCCGCTAATCACATGTACCCCGGTAGGGGCCCGCGGGAACCGTCGGCGCTACATGGACGGGGACAGGGGGGGCAGTCCCGAGGGGTCGCATGGTGCCCCGCTGACGCCCACCCTGCGGAGGCTGCCCGCATCGCCCCGCGAGGAGAGCGGGCTGCCCTCGTGGAGCCTCATGCGGAGTCCAGACGCGAGGGCGCGGACACCCGGGGCCACTCGGCCTGATTCTGGTGGCGGCGGCAGCGGGGGGCGCAGCCCTCCTGGCCATGCGCCGTCGCAGTCGTCTCCCCGGCGTCGGCGCCGTTGCCGCCTCTGCCCAGCGACGCTCGCGGCGCCAAGATGGCCTCCCGGGAGCCCCCGCACCGGCAGCGCCGCGGGGGGTCCCCGCATGGGCCTCGCCTCGCGCCTCTGCCCGCACGGCGGGCGGCCCTGTGCGATGCAGAGGCGCGGAGGAAGCGGCACTTCTTCGGGCCGCACCCTGGCCAGCTTTGAGATGCACCTACATGGAGCAAATCGTCTTGCCGTCCAGAGTCTGCCGCCCCCTCCGCGCACGCACTTTTTGCGCGCGAAGGAAATCCGCCGACGCGGAGTGGGGTCCCCCCCCCCCCTCCCTCGGGGCCCGCGGACGCGCGAAGGCAGGCGACGCGCCAGGCGCATGCTTGCCCCCCCCCTCCCCCCCCTCCACGCACGCATTTTTACGTGTGAGGAACCGAGCACGCGCCATGTGCATGCTCGGCTCCCCTCCTCTGCGCACGCATGTCTACGTGTGTGGAAAAACCGCCCGCAGCAGGTCTGGCCTTCCCCCCCCCAGTGGGGCCTGCTGTGGCGAGAAGCGCGTGAAAACACGAGAAGCACGTGAACACATGCCAAACGCATGCACGCCGAGACGCATGTTGGAGAGTCCCCCCTCCGCATGCGTATCTGCTCATGCCGAATTCCAAGTCGTGCTGCTTTACTCCCTTCTGGAACAAGGCCCCAAGGCCCGCCAACACAAAGAGAACCCTGGGTCGGAGCCGTCGTCGGAAAAAAAAAACAACGCGAATTACGCTACCGAGGAACCCCACATACTTATATTATGGCTGGAGCGATGAGAGCTGAAGTGAAGCATGTGAGAATGATGTTGGAGGCCGTTGCCCCGCCGATACCGCTCTGCCCTGGACGACCGTCACGGATAGCGGCCGCGGTGAGAGACCACCCCCTGCGCACCCCCATATGGTGTCGAGAATATGCCATGCCTGCTGTGCCGTGGACGACCGTCACGAGTAGCGGCCGCGGTGAGAGACCACCCCCTGCGCACCCCCTTATGGTGTCGAGAATATGCCATACCTGCTGTGCCCTGGACGACCGTTGCGGATAGCGGCCGCGGTGAGAGACCACCCCCTGCGCACCCCCAATGGTGTCCAGAATATGCCATGCCTGCTGTGCCATGGGCGACCAACGCAGATAGCGGCCGCGGTGGGAGACCACCCCTTGCGCACCCCTCTTTGGTGTCGAGAATATGCCATGCCTGCTGTGCCCTGGACGACCGTCACAGATAGCGGCCGCGGTGAAAGACCACCCCCCTTGTGCGCACCCACCTACTATGGGGTCGAGAATATGCCATGCCTGCTGTGCCACTGGACGACACCGGCGAGATAGACGGCCGCGGTGAGAGACCAACCCGCGCACCACCACATGGTCGAGAACTAGTGGCACCACGCGCTGTGCCACTGGACGGACAGTCAAGATTAACGGCCGCGGTGAGAGACACCCCCTGCGCACCTCCACACTTATTGGTGTTGAGAATAGCCATGCCTGCTGTGCCCATGGACGACCGTCATCACGAGATAGCGCGCGGTGAGAGAACCAACCCACCTGCGCACCCCCTCTGGTGTCAGAAATATGCCTACATGACTGCTGTGCCCTGGGAGACCAGTAAACGGATAGCAGGGGCGCGTGATATTGGACGCGGTGAAGAAGACCACCACCCTGCGCACCACCATGGTGTCGAGAATATGCCATGCCTGCTGCGCTCTGGACGACCGTTACGGATAGCGGCCGCGGTGAAAGACCACCCCCTGCGCACCCCCTACGGTGTCGAGAATATGCCATGCCTGCTGTGCCCTGGACGACTGTCACGGATAGCGGCCGCGGTGAGAGACCACCCCCTGCGCACCCCCAATGGTGTCGAGAATCTGCCATGCCTGCTGTGCCTGGGCGACCGTCACGGATAGCGGCCGCGGTGAGAGACCACCCCCTGCGCACCCCCTATGGTGTCGAGAATATGCCATGCCTGCTGTGCCTGGGCGACCGTCACGGATAGCGGCCGCGGTGAGAGACCACCCCCTGCGCACCCCCTATGGTGTCGAGAATATGCCATGAACGCTGTGCCCTGGACGCACTCGTCAGGATAGCGGCCGCGGGAGAGACCAACCCTGCGCACCCCTCATGGTGCGAGAATATGCCATGCGCCCTTTCTTGTGCGTTAGCTGTGCTGTCTGATGGTGCTTGACATGCTCCTTTGCTGTGCCTGGGCGACCGTCACGGATAGCGGCCGTGGTGAGAGACCACCCCCTGCGCACCCCCTATGGTGTCGAGAATAGGCCATGCCTGCTGTGCCCTGGACGACCGTCACGGATAGCGGCCGCGGTGAGAGACCACCCTCTGCGCACCCCCTATGGTGTCGAGAATATGCCATGCCTGCTGTGCCCTGGACGACTGTCACGGATAGCGGTCGCCGTGAGAGACCACCCCCTACGCACCTGTGCATGTGCTGTGATGTGCTGTGCTTTGCTGTGCTGTGCTGTGCTGTGCTGTGCTGTGCTGTGTTGTGCTGCTGTGCTGTGCTGTGCTGCGTGAAGAGGAGGAGGAGGGGAGGTGAGGAGACGCGGGTGCGCCGCGGCAGGGAAGAAAACCAGAACCCCACGAAACATGTGGGGAAAAATAAGGGAAACATAGTCTGGGGGGCGATTTTTCGACTATTTTTGACCATGCTGGAGTATTTTTTTACTATGTTCTATTTCTCGCCCAAAATCCGCCTGTAGGGGGACACGCCCGACCTAGGGGTATCGCCCAATAAACAGAACCCCCCAGACCTCCAGCCGCTCCCATGTTTTCGATGTGTGGGCCCCGGAGGTCTGGACCACCTTCCTGGGGCCGATTTTTCGTCCTGAGTCGCCCAGCCAGCTCACGCCCCCAGCACCCCACCTCAGGGCGGGCGGGGGACTGACCCCGTCGGCTGCCAACCCAGACATCGGGCCGCTCCAATGCTTTCGATGCGTGGGCCCCAAAGGTCTGGGCCACCTCCCTGGGCCGGCTTTTTCGTCCTGGCCTTTTTTCGACGACCTCGGGGCCTGGCGAGGGCCCCCTGGCCGAGAATGGCCATCGTCCTGGCCTTTTTTCGACGACCTCGGGGCCTGGCGAGGGCCCCTGGCCGAGAATGGCCAAAACCCCGCCGCTCCGTTTTTTCTTCAGAGCGCCGGATCTCTGGGAAGCGGAGCTCGGGCACCACCCCGGCAGCACCAGACATCCGGCTGCTCCCGTTTCGTCGATGCGTGGGCCGTGGAGGTCTGGACCACTCCCCTGATAGGGCCGGTTCCTCGTCCCGAGTCGTTTCTTTCGACGGCCCCGCGGCGAGGCCCCCAGGGGCCTAAGAAACGGCCCCCCCCAACCCGCTGCCCCGATGTTTTTCTCGGAGCGTCGGCTCACTTCGAGTAATTAGGGGATCGACCAGAGAATGGAGTTGCCCCAGAATCGAGCTCCTCGTCGGATCTCCAAAGCAGACGGGGCAGTGCTCATGGGTTCGGCGGGCGAACCCACTTTGGGGCAAGTCAGTTCTGGAGTCGATCCCCCACTCCGAGTGGGGATCGACTACAGAACTGGGTCACAACAGCTTGGCTCGACGTAGCCGCCCGGCCAGCCGACATCATGTGAAGTAGCTTCGTAAGACGTTTTTTTCTCATACGCCTCTTCTGCGGGCCCTTGGGGGCCGACACTCGATCTCTGGGGCGATCTCGTGGGGGTCGGTGAGGCCGCGCCCGAAGCAGCCCCCCCCCCGCCCCCGGAGAGGAGATCGACGGCCTGCGCTGCGTGCTGCTTCGAGGCCTGCCCTTCAAGGCGACCGTGGGGGACATCCGGGCCTTCCTGGGCGACTTCGCGGCGGAGCTCGACGGGGAGGACGCGGTGCTTGGGGGCAGCGTCGGGAGGGAGAACCGGCTCGGGGGGGCGGGGGAGTCTCCGAAGGGTCCTGGAAGTTCTCGAACATGTTTGAAGCCCGGGGTGTGTTCCCCCAGGTTGTGCCTCGTCGAGGGCGTTCATGGGATGACGGAGTCGTCCCGAACGGCCGCCCGAGGCCCAGGTTGTGGCCCGAAAGTCGGGGAGCACAAGGTCAGGGACAACGCTAGCGGGGGATGGGCTCCGGGGGGACATCATGGCCCCTGGCCACTATCAGCCGAAAAGGTACAGTGGGCGACTCGGAAAAACTGGTGGCAGAAAGCGTACCCGCGATGGTGGCCGAAAGCGTAGTGTGACCTCGACGGGGAGGACGTGTTGCTCGGAGCAACGTCCAGGGGTCCTCTGGGCTTCCTCGATGGGGTCGGCGAAGACGGGGTCGGAGGATCGCGCCACATGGCCGATGCGTCGGCGATGTGGCTCGATGCGGAGCCCGAGTTTCGCCACGCCGACGGCGGCGATGCATCGCTGATGCAGCGGCAGTGCATCGCCGATGCATCGCCGATGCATCGGCGATGTGGCGCGTTCCTCCTACCCGATCTACTCGGACCCCACTTGGGAGGCTTCAAGATGGGCTCAGGGGGGATACGGTCGGGAACTTTGGCTCAGCGTGTCGTTGCCGCCGGTCCTGGCCCGCCCCCTTTCGGCGCGACACGCTGACCGCCTCCCGGCTCCCAAGCGTCAGCGTCCCCAGCCTATCCCAGCCTCGCATTCCGCGCAGCGGGGCGGCACGCCATCCGTTTGTAATGCGCAGCGTGTCGCTGGGGCCGCCGCCGCGACACGCAAATGAAAGGCTCCTGACCCTAGGCCCAGGGACGTTCGAGGCGGGAGGTTTTCGGTCATTGTCGGGCGTGTTCGTCGGTTCTCGGCGGCTTTCCAGCCTCGGGATGCCTTCTGAAGCAACGCCTCGCCGAGGGGTGTCCGCGGTGCCTGGGCTGTCCAGAACGGCCGCTGGAGAGCCGAGTTATGAGCCGAACGCCAGGGGGCAACGTCAGGGGGGATACAGTCGACCCACGTAGTAAGGATGGGCAACCTTCCCGAGGGTACCCTTGCATCCTTGCCTCATCGGTCCATCCTTTGCCACTTTCGTTGGCCGCGCCACGCTCGGAAAGCTTCGGAATGGCCGTCCAAGGCCCTTGCTTCCTTATCGCGCATCCTTGTGATACGGAAAGCCACTCTGGCTCAAGCTGGAGACCCTACGGCCTGGGGATGATTCTCGCCGAGTCGCGATGAGGTCACTCGCCGCAGAACCCCCCCCGATGACGGCGGCCATTTGCCTGGCCCCATTCGCGGGCCGCCCGCCTGTGGCATGTGTGGCCCCTTCGACGCTCGCGGGCAAGTGGCCCGAGCGCGCGCCGCCGCTGGCGCCGCGGGCAGCTGGCTGCAGGGCGTGTGGAGCGGATGCAAGCGAGTGCACATCTCCTTCAGCTCCTCCGCCCCCATCAGGTACCTCGTGAAGTACTTCTGCTTCATCGTCTCGCTGTTCTACCCATGGTTGATATTGATTGCCTGGCCCCTGTGGCCCCGAGCACTGCGCCGCTGACAATGGTTGAAGCTGGATGCGCAGCTTCTGCGAGTTTGGGTGCGTGCTGTCTATCGCCGCGGTCCTGTGGCACGATGTCGGAGGTCTACATCCCATATCGGGACATGCTGAGGTCCCGCTTGCACGGCTGGTTGCCCATCGCCTACGTAGACGAGATTCTCAGAGTTTCTCGCGCCCGTCTGGATTTGTTCCGGCTTACGGCTTTTGGCGTGGCGCTCACGAACGCTTACGACGATTCCGGGACCGCGGACGCCATGGCCACTCTGCCTTGCCCGGAGACGCTGCCCGCTGGGAACCAGGCCGTGAGCACAATCGAGTGGGATGGCGACCAGACCGATCTGCTCTTAGGTCCTGGGGGCATCGGGGGCAGCCTGCGCGCACCCTCCGTCCTGCGACCGCGGGACGAAGCCCGCACTGAAAGCATAGAGCGGCTTAGCATGTACATGATCTCAGCGTTCAACCAACAGTTCGCCGAGGGGCTACGGGAGTCGATGCAACATTTCCCACCATTACCCTTCGTATAGATACTGAGTTGTTTTAAGATACCGAGGCACCTTCTTCGATTGCCTAGGCACTAGTTTCAGCAACGGTTCTCGCACGCCTGACCTGGGGGCGCGGGGCGTATCAGGTGCCGGCGCTCTCAGAGCAGCCCTGGGCAATCTTTCACTCGTGCGGCACACCTAGCGGGGGTAATGTCCGCTGTTCGAGCGCGCGATGATTTGGCAGTCTTGAGGCTTTGCCTTTGATGACTTGCGCCTGGCCAGGAGTCGCCAGAACGAGGAGGTGACTTGCTTTCGAGTTTCGGAGCCCCGTTCTCAGTTCTCATCGGGGGGATTGTATACTACCCATTGTGGGATCACGCTCTGCGGCGTGACAGCGAGGCACTAGTGACCTGTCAGCTCTCGAGTGCAGTATACGTACCTATCACGTGCAGGTGAACATGTCACGAAGTAGTCATCTATGCTGCCTAATAAAAAATAATAAATATCCTTGTGATGCGGGCCGGCTGTAGGCTCAGGGGGGCGGGGGGAGTTTTCGAAAGTTCCCGGAAGTTGTTCGAAAGGCTTGAAGCCCGGGGTGGTTTCCCTCAGATGCGCCGTCGCCCCCCAGGTGCACCTCGCGCTCAACCGCGACGGCCGCCCCTCTGGCTTCGCACGCGTGAGGCTCGTGTCGGCGGAGGCCGCGGAGAGGTGCCGCGACGGCGTGCACCTGCGGTGCATGGAGGACCGCGGGAGCGGGCGACGCACGCGTGCGGGGGACCCTTCGCTGGAGTGACCTCTGGTGCGGGCTCACAGGGCTCCCCCAGCACCGGCCTGCGCGCTCGGCCTCGGGCCTCCCCGCGGCCCCCGGAAGCCGCGCGCCAGGGCTCACCTCTGCCCGGGGTCACCCTTGCGTCTGGCCGAGGGAGTCGGGGGCAACGACGGGGGGGGACAGGCGTAGGGGGGGGGACGCATCGACCTCCAATCGCCCATTGACCGCCGATAGGGGCCCGATAGCCCCAACCTGCCCAGGAAGGTGCGGGTTCATTATCGGAGGCACATCGCCGATCTATCGGCGATGTCTCGCCGATTCCAGGTCGATGCTCCCCCCCCTATGCCTATCCCATCGTTGCCCCTCAGGGGGGGGGACGGAGCGCGAGTCCCCTCGGGTCGTGACTAAGATCACGACGCATGTGCTCGTTGCCAGTTTCGGCTTCTGGGGGCCTTCGCCGAGAGCCCGAGAGGAGACGCCTGCCCTGGGGAATGGGTCGAGACCTGCGGGGGTCGACGCGGAGGGAGAGTGAGGACGTCGGGGCATGGGGGCAATCGTAGGGAGATGATATCGGTGCTGATGCTCGTCCTGGAGAGCCCTCACCACCACGGCCAGGTTCTCCTCGAGATGCTGGTCAGAACGCCAGTCTCGGAGGGGGGGACGTGACACCGATGCCGCCGATCGTCCTCGGGAGCCCTCGCCACCACGGCCGGAGGGGGAAGGAGTGACCGGAGGAAGGCATTGATGACCCCCCCATTTCCTGCGAAACTAGCCAGACAACTCGGCTGAGGAAGTCTGCCCGAGCTCACTCGACATTGGCACGCGTGTGTGCCGATGCAGTCCCCCGGTCGGTTTCGCTCATCGACGTGCGTTCCGCCGGCTACTTGCGATTGTTCTTGGACGTCGACGATTGATTCCGCCTGGGTGCACTCAGAACGCGGTGCCGCGCGCACCCGTGGAGTGTCCGAGCAGCTTTCGCTAAAGGGCGCTCTGCCTAAAGGGCGTTCTGGCAATCCTCGGCAGGGGGGAAAAGGATGCCGCTGCCGCCGCTCGTCCTGGAGAGCCCTCGTCACCACCAACCGATTTTTTGTTGGCCGAACAGTCTCTAGTTGGGACCGAACAATTTGTCGGACCGAACAAAAACTTGTGTGTGGCCCTGACAAAAAAGGTTCGGTCCCTGGCTTCTCCTCGAACTTTGGGTACCGATGCCGCTGCTCGCCCTGGAGAGCCCTCGTCACCAGGGCTGGATTCTCTTCGAACTCCTGGGAACGATGCCGCTGCTCGCCCTGGAAAGCCCTCGCCACCACGGCTGGATTCTCCTCGAAATTCTGGCACCGGTGCCGCTGCTCGTTCTGGAGAGCCCTCGCCACCACGGCTGGATTCTTTTCGAAAGTCTGGTCAGAACGCACCGGGGGAGAGGCTCGAAGAAGAACAAATGGCACAAGCATAGACTTCGATCGTCCGCGCGTATTTGTTGGATTGGCGCCTGACACCCGCAGGGAGGTCGGCGCCAGTTTTCCCGTCAGTCTTTTTGGGTCCTTCTCGTCCTGGACAGTCCTGGCCACCACAGCTGGGTTCTCCTCGAAACTCTGGTTAGGACGCGCCCGCGGAGGGGTCTGAGAACCATCGGTATCGGCATCGGTATCGGTACAGTATCAGTGTCGGTATAGGTACGGGAGGTCTGCTCACTCTCCCTCCTCGGCTTCCTAGCTTTCTCTTCCTTCTCCTGCGTGGTTGTTGCTTTGCATGGAGGAGCCCCCTTGTCCACAGTGGGGGGGCTGGCCATTTTCATCATCAGCGCACTTGTGGTTTTTCCCCAATCAGTGCTTGCACTGAAGGGGTCCTCGCGGATGTTGAAGGATTTGGCGAAAGTGCCCCGCCGATTTTGGTCGCACGCTGGGTTCCCGGGTTCCCTGGTTCCCGGTTCCGGGTTCCCGGGTTCCCGGTTCCGGGTTCCAGGCCGATTTCGGAGGGCGGCGATCCTGGTCGATCTTCTTATCGATCGGTCTCACCATCGATCCCAAATCGATCTCACTATCAATCTCACAAGCGATCTCACTAGAGATCGCATGAGCGATCTCGCGATCGATCTGACTATCGATCTCGTTGAATCGATTTCACTCTCGGTCTCACGATCGACCTTACAATCGTCCTCACTATCGATTACACTATCGATCTCATGATCGATCTCACAATCGATCTCAAGATCCAGAGTCTCAATTTTCAAAATGTTCAAACCATCCACTGATTGGGTTGTCTCAGGTGTAATCTTCTGTTGAGGAGAGACAGTCGGCATCGGTGCAGTAATCAGGCGCGCCGAATCAGAAGCTGGTGTTTCGGCAGGTGCCCCCTAGAAGCTTTGTCTCCCCCGATGGCCCCTGAGGTGGCCCGCAGAGGGGCACCGGGGCACCTCGGGAGGCTCGCAAAGCTGGACGGCAAGCGAGGCTCGAGAGGCGTTCTGGCAAGATTTCTTGTCGCGTGTCCCTGCGTCAGGCATGCATTTTTCCCCAACCATCCTGTGGTGTTGGGTCCTCGTTTTGAAGAGACAGCGCCCGCGTCCTCCTTCTTTCCTTCTCCTCCCGCTGCCCCCCCTCCCACTCCCCATCATCGCATCATCGTCACCATCATCACCATCACCCATCATCCATCAGTATCATCATCCGTAGCATCATCCTCATCCACAGCATCATCATCATCATCATCATCATCATCATCATCATCATCATCATCATCATCATCATCATCATCATCATCATCATCATCATCGTCATCCTCATCGTCATCGTCATCGTCATCGTCCCCACCACCCATGTCGGCACACCCCTCATACTTTTCGTGGCCCCACAGGGAGCTCCACCCAAGGTCCCAGTGGCGGAACTCGCATGGCTGCCCCGCCCCATTTTAGCACACCCCTCACACGCTTCGTGGCCCCATAGGGAGCTCCACCTATGGTCCAAGTGGCGGAACTCGCATGGCGACCTCGCCCCATTTTGGCACACCCCTCACGCGGTTCGTGGCCCCACAAGGAGCTCCACCTATGGTCCCAGTGGCGCAGCTCGCATGGCGGCCTCGCCCCATTTTAGCACACCGCTCACACGTTTCGTGGCCCCATATGGAGCTCCACCTATGGCCCCATTGGCGCAGCTCGCATGGCGGCCCCGCCCCAGTTTGGCAAACCCCTCACACGTTTCGTGGCCCGATAGGGAGCTCCACCGAAGGCCCCAGTGGCGCAGCTGGCATGACGATCCTGCCCCATTTTGGCACACCCCTCACACGTTTCGTGGCCCCATAGTGAGCTCCACCGAAGGTCCCAAGAAGAAGTCGAAGAAGTCCCTCTTCCTCGTGCAGGCCGCCGACAGGTCTGCCCCGACGATGAGCAGGAAGGGCGCCGCCAAGATGATGAACTGTGCCAACCCGAAGAACACCGGTGGCATGCACGGACTGCCCCCGGTGCACGTGGGCATGCGGATCCGGCTCCTGGAGGCGCTGGACCTCAAGAGCGGCCTCGTCAAGGATGCCGAGGGGCAGATCGTGCACATCGTCGTGGGCCTTCGAGATCGGGGCGACGTCGACAAGGCCGAGAGCCGAGAGAGATGGGGAGAAGGATCTATCTGAAGCACTTGCCGCTGGGGTTCTGGGTGCACATGGATAAGTACGCGAGCGCGCCCTTCGTGGACGAC